GGGTCCTGGGATCGAGCCCCGCATCGGGCTCCCTGCTCGGTGGGGAGCCTGCTTCTCCCTCTCCCACTCCCCCTGCTTGTGTTCCCTCTCTCACTGTGTCTCTCTCTCTGTCAAATATATAAAATCTTAAAAAAAAAAAATAATAATAGGAACCCTAAGTTCTTGGAAGAGGTGCTAATTAAACCTAACTTAAAACTTTTAAAGATTAAATTTCATCTTCTTGTGTGTGAAATTATTTTATTTAGTTAATTCATGTATTCTAAGTTTAGATATTGTCTCGTCTTATATTGACCAGTTAGCTTTATATATCAAAAATTTCTTCCATGACTAAGCCTTGCCCAAGCCAACTGTCTTGGATGAACTGATTGTTGTTTACTAAAGAGATTTTGTCAGAGATTGTAGCTGGCTCACTGCAACTCTGCATCACCCCTGTAGAGACCTTGAGAGTAGATAATTGTTAGATCTGATTTTTGCTCCCTTCTTATAAGGGCAGTGTATTTGTAACTTGGTTTTCTATATAAATTTTGAGGCTGAACTACCAGTCTGAGTGACCCTGCTCATTTGGATTTGGCTGCAATGGAACTGTGTAGGATTGGATTTTAGGTATGATTTCATTTACCATCACTGATTTGACTCAGTCTCTGGCTGTGTGACCATTTGTCATTTTACACCTAGCCTTTCTGTTGTAAAGTGTAGGAGTGGTTTCAGTAATCCTAACATCTAGAATTTAGGGAAATTCCTTCTGTTTGCAAAGCAGTATACTTAAGGTGCATCTCAATTTTTTTTCATTTTTTTGCTTGTCAGATTTAATGGACCTATTGAGTGTGGAGTAATATTTAAGTTCTAAACAGTATAATAAATGAGATCGATAAGTAGAAAGTAAACCAGAGGTCTTGTTTGAGAAACTTCAACTGTGATTCACCTAGTACTTTACTTTTGATTTGTTTTCTCTAAATTATATTCTGCTTATCTGATTTTCTTTTCTTTTTCAGTGATGATCACATAAAGTTTTTCTGCTTTCAAGTACTAGAACATCAAGTTAAATACAAGTAAGGCTTTTCTCACTGTTTTGACTCTGAAATTTATGGGGAGAGGTCATTTTTAAATTAGTTTTTCTCTCTTTGGGAAAATCATAATACAAGCTGTAAATTGAGAGTGTATGAGACACATCCAGTTTATAGATGTGTTTTTGATTTATCCCAAAGTGTTGTAAAAATACTGAGTTAATTGGTTACATAAAAAAATCCAGACATTTCACAGAAAAAATTCATTTCTAGCTTCTCTGGAAAAATCTGAAGATCTAGCAACACCAGACCTGTTTCTACATGCCAACTCTGTTAGAGGTTAGTGGCAGCATGGCCACTTGGATTTAGAACCCCTGCCTTAAATAAGCAGAAACGGTGAATCACTGCTCAGAGGACCCTTCGTTTGCCTGTTGATTTATTCTGTAAGCCACAGACCTCAAAATGTAGACGCATTTCCATTTGAGAAATTCCACAGCTGTCATTTTGTTTTAACATGAACTGGACCACAAATCAAACTAATATCAATGACACTACCTGCCAGGCCCACCCCTACGTTTTCTTTAAAGCCATGATGAGAAGCATTATTGATTTGTTTTAGGAAATTTTAAGTAATTGAGTGATACACAAATTTTCCCTTTCAAAAATATGAGGCTGTTACTTTTTAAACCACAGACACCAAATGTAGCCGTTATTATTTTTCTTCTCTATTTTGAACAGATACTCAGAACTAACTACTGTTCAACAACAACTAATTAGGGAGACGCTCATATCTTGGCTTCAAGCTCAGGTAAAATAGTAATTTCACTCAGTACCTTAAATTACTAGATAATTAAATTTTTAGTTTTGCAAGAGTTTAGAACTTTACCTCAAAAATGTTGATCACTTATCCTCCCTTTGATCCCCAGGGAGCCTGATGTGGGACTCCATCCCGGGACTCCAGGATCATGACCTGAGCCGAAGGCAGTCGCTTAACCAACTGAGCCACCCAGGTGCCCTACTTGCCTGACATTTTAAAATTACAGACTTGATGCAAAAGTGATGGAAAATATTGTATACATGAAATACATAGTGTAGTGTCTTGCACATGGTGGGTCACTAAACAAATGTAGCTGCTAAATTGTTACAGTACTTTTATTCTACTTCTTTTCCGAATTCCCCCTCCCAAGTTTTGTTTGTTCCTCACTATAGTTTGAGTGACTGCAACCAAGTCTGTATTCAGTAGTGAATAAGCAACAATGAAACCTAATTGAGCACTTATTGTGTGCAAACATATATTATCCCAGTTCTCACAAGAACCCTTTGAGGTCAGTACTGTTGTTGTTCCCATTTTACAAATGGGTAAACTGAAATACAGCTAGATTATGTAAAGTGCCCGAAACTGAGGTCAAGTGTGGGAGGGGAAAGAGGGTGGCGGGAATTCAAATGTAGACAACTTGAGCCAATACTGCCTCTGAATAAACGAAGTAACAGTACCAGAGGAGTAACCTACGAGAACTCCCTAAGAATGCTCTCCTTTTCATGAATGATAATATATTAGTACGTTTAAAGTGAAGTTTTAAGAATTTTCAGCGCTCCTGAGAGGATAGTCACCCTCCCGGACCCTAAACACGTGGGACCATAGAAGAGCAATTAAATCACACGTGGTTTGGACTACGTCATCTGGATCTCAGGAGTTCGATACTCTAACCTACCAACTACCTAATGAAGCCTTTATGGAACATTCTAAGCACACCCGATCGACGGCTAGGACCCACGCGAGACTCAGCGGCGTGGGAGGGACTCGCGCCGGACGCCCCATCCCGGCATGCACCACAGGCCTCGGCGAGCGTCCGGAAGCGCCCCCCTGCCCGTTGCATGTCGGGAGTTGTAGGCTCCCGGCCCGGGCCCGCGGGCTGCCGTCCGCACTCTCCATGAGGCTGCTGGTGCTGGCCCGCGCGGCGCCGACGCGGGGAGCGCGCTTCGCGCTGACTCAGCGGCGACGGAGGCGGCGGCGTTAGCCGGCCCCTCGCGCTCTTTCCCTTCCTGGGGCGCCGACCCCGCCCGCCTGCTTGCTAGCTTGCCGGCCGGGCGCCACGCAAGAGAAGGCGCCAGGGGACGCGGAGCGGCGCGCGGCCCCGGCCAGCTCGGTCTCCGGCGTTAGCGCTACGGCCGTGGCGGAGGACGACGGCGACAAGGACGAGGGCCGCTCTCTCCGCTCCCTGCGTGCGGCGCCGCTCCGCTCCGCTGACCAGCCCTCGGGAGTGCAGGCGGGGAGGCGGGATGGACTGATAGGGAAGGTGACTCGGAGCTCGGGGGCGGCGGGACTCGGATCCCGTGGGTCCGTGCGAGGCTGCGGGGAAGTTAGCGGGGAGGACTGGCCCGGGAAGCCCCCCGCTGGGGAGGGGTGCGGGCCGGGGGCCCTCCATGGCGGTGGCGCCCCGATGCTGGGCGGACTGGGTGGGGGTGGGTACGAGCTGCGGCCGTCGCCGCGGAGCGCGTCCCGAGTGCGTGGCCGCCCGTTGCTGGGTGTTTCATCACCCGAATTGCCACGAGGCTTCCTTTAGGGGAGGGACGGAGAGGGGGTGAGGAAGGGGCAAGGGCGGCCAAGGAGGGTTGGCATCGTCTGTGGCCCCTAATGTAGTGGAAGTGACCAGGCTCATTTGTAACAGCAGCGTGTCCCACTAGTTTCAACTGCGGAGACCTCAGACTTGCTTTGCTCCCCGCCCCAGGACAAAAAGGAGAAAAGTGTTATTTCTGTGTAGTAATTGCCAGCACAGACACGCCATTTCTTCTCTTCCCTTCTTCACAGTTCTGCAGGAGTAGACCAGCGTGATGTTTCCCAGTAACCAGAAGAAACGAGTACTTTTTGAAAGTACTAATTAGTTGTTACTGGGGGAAGTTACGTTTTATTAAAGCGACTTGTCAGCGTGGTGTTAAAAGATTGGAAAGATTCAGTCTTGGTCTTTGAACAGTCTTTAGTAGGTGTGGAGGAATTTCCCCAGATTGTTTGATTTATTTAATGGCTACCAAAGAAAAGTTCGGGCTTAATATTTTAAGTATGTTGCTTGCCTTTTCCCGAAACATTTACTAGATGCATAATTGAAGTGTTTATCGCATTGTAACAAATGTTTAAGCCTGCACGTCTATGCCACGTTAGAACATTGTGTTCATGCACAACCTTTAACTGAGGAACTGTTACCTTTTCTGCACAGGTGGTAACTTTTCAGTTGTTTGCACACATGTAGCTAATTCACCGTTTCATAGTTGTGTTCCACTGCATATTGATTATTATACAGGTTCCTTCTCTGTGGGGGATTCTTTCTGTACTGACAACTGTAGCAAGTTTATGTTTCCTTAGGTTATTTATTGGCCAGGTTTTTAAAGACCAGTGCTGTTTTGCTTGATAGAATTAAAGTGACTTGACCAAGCTTAAGCAATTTTCCCTAAATTCAAAGAATCTCTTTAGGACTTTTTTTTTTTAAAGATGTTATTTATTTATTTGACAGAGAGAGACACAGCAAGAGAGGGAACACAAGCAGGGGGAGTGGGAGAGGGAGAAGCA